GGGGGGGGGCGCAGGATCTGGCCTGCCGCCGGCTAGGCGGCCCTTGAAAGGGCCACGGGAGCGTGCGGGCCCGTGCGGCCTTTTGGCCGGCTCGGGTGTGTATTTTCCCGTCCCTTCCCCCTTACCTGTGCATGGATCTCTCTCTCTCTGTCTCCATCTCTCGCTCCACGGTATTGGTGTCAGATCCGGAAGCGAGACCCCTCCTCGGCCCTCCCTCCCCCTGCCTTACCTCCCCTCATCCGTCTGACATGGGCCAGGGCGAAACCACGGGGGCTCGCGGGTGAGGTGGCCAAGGGAGGGAGCTGCTCGGCCCGGCTCATATTGGAGCACTCAGGCGCTGCGCACACCGGGTGGTCGAAGATGGAAGGGGGAGGCTCCGCGAGAGGCAACTCCAGGCCCGCAGTCGGGGGCGCAGGAGGGAGGGACGGGCTTTGCCCAGGCGCTGGGCCGAGCCTGCCGGGCAGGACCGTACACGAGGCATGGCCCCCGTCCCGCCCCGCCCCCCCCTCCCTGCACATTGGGACCTTTGTTTACTCCCTTCCGGCGAAGTGTGTCAGGGCCTCTGCGGGGCATGATCATTTTTGACCGTCGGCCCCGGCACCTACTCCCCCCCTCGTTGCGGCAATCACCCTCGCTCGCTCGCTCTCTCTCCCTCCCTCTCTCTCTCTGCCGCGACGTACTCTCGCCTTCGCCTCCTCCCAAGCATCTTGGCTTCCATTCCCTCCTGCCTCCCAGCAAGACGCCTGTGTTGCTCTCGCTCTCGTTCTCGCTCCCATCCCCTTGCCCTGGCGACAGACGTTGGCTCTCCGAGGACTGGGGTGCGCGCACACAGACTCCCCCCCCCCCCCGCCTCTCTTGGGCTCTCCCCTGCCCTGCTGCCTCTACACGACTCTGGGCCGCTGTCTTCACGCGCTTGCCGGGCCCGACCCCATGCGTGTATAGCGTCTCCCACGCACCGATCGATCGACCGCTCCGTGTCCGGGTGCGACCGGCAAGCGCCCTGGCTCGCGGAGCCTTCGCACTACCCCCCTGCGCATGCCGGGCCACTGACCGCCCCTCGCACCCAAACAGCACCCGACCCGCTGAGTCCCCTCCTTTGTTGCGGCCCGCGCCCTGCCTGTGGCGGCTCTCACCCCACGCACCATGAGCGTCGAACAGGCGGAAGACTCGCCTCACCACCACCATCCCCATCATCAGCATCATCAGCATCACCACCACCACCACCACCACCACCACTCTCAACAGCCGCACCAGCACAGCCATCGCCCGCCCCAGCATCACTCACACGAGACCGGCCAGGCCGCTGGCGAGCAAGGCATGTACTCCACCAACGGGGGCAAGGCCTCCGACCAGCAGCAGCAGCAGCAGCAGCAGCAGCAGCAGCAGCAGCAGCAGCAGCAGCAACATGCGCAGTATCAGCACCAACAGCTACATCAGCAGCAGCAGCAGCAGCACCAACAGCAGCAGCAGCAGCAGCAGCAGCAGCAGCACCAACAGCAGCAAGGCTCGACCGCGGACAGCCTCTTGGCACGGAAGCGCGCGGTGGCCGGGCCGGCCCCCCTGCAGGCGAACTACCAAACCGGGCTCGGTGGCTCGTCGGAGGGGCCGGAGCCGGAGCCCTCCCGCGGGCGCTTTTCCTTCGAGCCGATGGGCACCGGCGAGCATGCCCCCACCGGGGGCGAGTACTTCCCCGCCGAGGACGCGTCGTTGGACCTGCCCAGCGCCGGGGCGGCCGGGTGGAGTGCCATCCCGGCGGGCGGCCCTGCTCCGACGCACACCCAGACCTACGGCGACTTGCAGCACCTGGGCCTGGGGCACGCGCACCCCCATCACCACCATTATGAGCAGCATCTCGGGCTCGGTGCCGGGGATTTGGCCCTGCCCGACGCCATGGTCCATGGCCCGGGCGCCTTTCACCACCGGCTGGACCCACTCATGATGGAGGGGCACACCCCGCGCGAGAAGCCGGCGCACTGGTTCAACGACGCCGGGGCCGGGACCTTCGGCCGGGCCGACGCGGACGCCCCCTTCCCGGGGTCCATTTTCTTCTCCAACGCCCATGAGGAGCACCACGGCGGGGCCGGGATGGGCGTCGCCCCGCCCCCCCCCGGCGACCATGGGCCTGCGCTGTTCGATGCCTACCTGACCGATGGCAAGGTCGACGCCTGGGCCACTTGGGACACCGGCGCTCTCAACAGCACTCGTGCCACGCCTCACCACAGCAGGTGCGCCGGAAGACGTGGCCTTCCGCCCGGCCGGCGGCCCCGGCCGGCCCCGGCGGCCGTCCTTGCTGGCGATCGGCCCCCCACCCGCCCTTTCGGCGGGGCTCGCGACCAGACACCGCTCTGGCGCCGGGTTTGGCGCCACTTCCCCGACATCGCATACTGACCTTCCCACGATCGACCGTGCCTCCGGCGGCTCGCGCGGGCCGGGGCGCCCCCGGCGCTGTATGGCTGCCCGGCTGGCGGCCACCTGCGACCGGCCCCTCGACCCGGGTCCCCCTGTCCGGCACTCGGGCGCTTGCATCGGCGCAACCCGCGCAGCCGGACGCCCTCCTCACCGGCAAGCCAGCGTCGCAATGGCGCCGAGGGGGTGGCCGATGTGCAGGGCGACAGGCGCTCGGAGCGTGCTCCGACATCGGGCGACACCTCGGCCGAGGGACTCCCGCACCAGGGTTCGGGCGCGGCTCGCGGCCCGTCGGGCCACAGTCCTGCCCCCGGCGGAGCCCCATGCACGGTGCCCGGCGCGGCCGGTGGCCTGGACGAGGGTGACCCCGTCGCCGGGGGCGGCGAGTCCCAGGCTCCGACGCCATCGACGGTGTCCAGTCACGACACCGATGGCCGGGGCTTTGGTGGCGCGAGTGGCGACTCCAGCACCGGCGACCGGCCCGAGCCGCTGGGCCCCATGCTCATGTCCGCCACCGAGCCATGGTCTCTCGGGGGCTTGGGCTTCGACGAGCCCCTGGGACCGGGCGACAACCGGCCCGCGCCCGGGGCGGCCTTCCACCATCCGGCCGATGGCCACCTGCTGCACCGGGGCTCGAGTGCCGGCATGGGGGCCGACGATTCGATGGGCTATCGGTCGCGCACGCCCCTGCGCGAGGGGGGCCAGGGCCCGGCCCGGCCGGCCGTCGGCCCCTTCGGCCCGGCCTCCCCGGGGCTGACCTACCGCCAGCACCGCGAGAGCGACTACTACCTGATGCATGGTGGGGGGCTGCTTGCGGGGGAGGAGGCGGAGGAGCTCCAGGGCCCGGGACGCCCGGCGGCACCTGGCGATGCCTCGGCATCCCATCCCGGCGAGGCAGCCCACCACGAGGACCCGTTGGCGGTGCTGATGCATGGCCTGGCGCCGGCCAGTTCGGCCGCGGCCGGCGGCCGTCCGGCGCCCCACTATGACCCGTCCGGGAGGCTGCCTCACCGGTCGCCGGGCTTTCCCCAAGAGCAGCGCCAAGGGCCGGCCGCCGGCCAGGAAGCTGCCTCGGCCAGCGGGGGCCCCCATTCACACCAGCAGCCCGCGCACGCCCGCCATCCCCAGGAGCATGATCACCACCCGCACCACCAGCACCATCACCACCAGGCCGTGCATTCTTCCGGACCGGGGGAGAGCCCCAGCAGCCAGGGCGGAGCTCAAGCCGATGCCCTGGGCCCGGGCAGGGGCCCGAAGCCTGTGGCAGGTCACCCGGGCCTGCGCCATGACCCGGCTCCGGGGCGGCACGCCTCGCCGGCCTTCGGCCCGGAGGGCCCGTACCTGGGCCAGGCGCCGCGCCACCAAGCCTTCGCCCACCCCATGGACCAGGCCGCTGGACGCCGGACGCCGACACAGCACCATGCCCGGCAGCCGGGCACGGGGCCATACCACCACCCATGCGACCCGATCCCCGGCGGCGGCGGCGCCGGCGCCGGCGCCGATGGCGCATATGCCGAAGGTGTGAGCGAGTACTTCGCGAGCGCCGCCCCGGCCGAAAGCCCGGCCCTCGGGCCGGGGCCCAACCCCGCCGGCCGGGGAGCCGGGCCTCCGGAAAATCCCCCACCCTCCGGACCCAAGACCTGCCCGAAGCCGGGAACCGGGCGCCCGGCTGCCAGCGGGTCCTCCTCCTGCGAGTCGCTGCTGCTGGAGGCCGGCGCCCTCTTGGCCTCCGGGCGCGGGCTCCTCAACCCCGGCGCCGAGGACACGCCAGCGACCCGGCCGCCGCCCGGCGGCACCCCCGGCGCCCCGGGCCCCGGCAGTCAGCTGCTGCGTGCGGACCCGGGGCCCACCCCCGGTGCCGGGGGGGGGTCCACCTCCGACGATACTCTCTGCGGATCGAGCTCCGAGGAGTACCTGGCATGTGCGGCCGGGGGCCCGGGCGGGACCGTTGCTCGAGCGGCCGCCAACCCGGCCCCGGGCCAGGCACCTTCCCCCGGGCCGGTGCACCATCAGCCCCTCGACCCCCCCCATGCGCACGCCGGTCAGCCCCAGCACCCGCACCACCGGCACCAGCACCCGCATCGGCACCACCTCCGGCAGGCTCACCCCCTGCCGGGAGGGGGCCGGAACTCCTTCAACATGGAAGCCCCGGCCCCGGGCAGCAGCTCCTCCTTCGCCACCGAGGGCGACCCGTATGGCGGCGCCCCGAGACCGGTGGTCGTCTCGACGGCCCACGGCGGATGTGCGCACTCTGTCTCTCGCCCCCTTTGTCCCCTGCCTCTCTGTGTGGCTCTCGCTCGCGCGCGCCTTCTCTCTTTTGCACTCGCGCCCCCCCCCCCTCCGCCGGTGTTCTGGTGGGGCGGTCTCCCGGCCCTGTTTCCCCCCCCCCCCTGCTGGTGGCCGATCGCAGGCCCTGCTCTGTCCGAGAGCACGGACCCATGCAAAGATATTGACATGACCCCAAACGCCGATGGATGCCTGTGCGTGTCAACGCGAATCCAGTGGCCCATAGTCCTCTTGGCGAGGGGGCGCCCACCCACGTGGGCGGTGGCGGCGATCCCCGTCTCGGTGGGAGTGAGATGCGCCCTGGGTCGGGCGGGGCCGCGCGCTTCCAGCACCTCCACCGCCATGGGCACCTCCCCCACCAGCCCGGCTCCTCGCCGTACTTTGCCCAGCGTGAGGTACACACCCACCGGGGGCACTGGCGCGGCGGCGGGGCGCCCATGCTTAGGGTGCCCTGCCGCTTGCCCCGGCAGTGGGCGATCGCTCGACCCCATCCTCCCCACCGCCCGCACTCTTGCTGACCCTCCTCCGTCCCGCTCCTCCTCCTCCGCCGGGCTCGGCTCTCGCCTCCTGTCGCGCCCGCCCCCCCCCCCCCCCCGCCTCTTCGGTGTGTGGTGAACCATGTCGATGGCGGCTGGCTGCGACCCATCGACGCCGGGCGGCCGGCTGTGACAACCCGGCTGGCCGTAGTTCACCGCCGTGTCGGCCCCCCTGCCGCCGTCAGACGCGGGCACAGCAGTAGCCGCCGGCGGCGGGAGCAGTCGCGAGCACTTGCCCCCCATGGGCCATGGGTCTTTGCCGGTGGCGGGAGCGCATATGTCGGCGTTGAGCTCGGCCCTGCTCGGGGGCGGCGGCGGCTCGGCCTCGGAGAACCTCCACGCCATTGACCGGTCGGCATCCGGGCCGGATGCCCTGCCTCATGCGTCGCACCACCATGGCTCTTACCAGCATCACCTGCAGGACCACCACCCCCAGCACCGGCAGGCACATGCCCAGCACCAGCACCAGCACCAGCACCAGCAGCCGCAGCAGCAAGGGCCGCCCGGGCCAGCGGGCCAGCCTACCTACCCCCAGCTGCCGCAGTTCCCGGCCGGTCCGAGCGCGGGCCCGCTGCTGGCCATGTACCACCACCACCACCACCACCACCACCAGGCCGCGGGGGGGTCCATGGGAGCCGAGGGACTCGGTGGCCTGCCCGGGGGGGCCTGGGCCGGGAGTGAGCCCGGCATGGGCCCCATACTGGATGGCGAGGTGCAGCCCTTCTCGCAGCACCAGGCCCTCGGCGGGCCCGCCGGAAGTGGCACCCCCGGCAGCTGGCGAGACTTCCGCCACGCGGCCGGCTTGCTGGACACCTGGGTCCCGGGGGTGGGACCGGTGGCGGCCGCCGCGCGAGGCGGGCCTGGCCCGGCCGCCGGGCAGCCAGCAGCCGGCCTGGGCCCGGGGCGCGGCTCGTCGCCCTTCGTCACGGCGGATCAGCAGCCCCCCCCGGGCAGTGGCCCCGGCGATGGCGGCAACACCCGGGAAGGTGTCGCCGCTGGCGAGTGGCGGCGCGAGCAAAGGCCCCCGGGCAGTGGCGCCGGGCCGCCGGGCGGGTCGCATGCTCTCGGGTTCCATGTGTCGCCGCACCCGACGCGCATGGTGGCCTCGGTGGAGGCTACCGGCGGACGGCCGGGCGCCAGCCCCGGGCCCTGGGCGTCGTTCCCGGGCCCGGGCGACGCCGGGGCCGGCATGGCCTCGCCGGCCGCCGTGGCCATGCCCATCGTCCCGTCCGGAGCGGGCGGCCACCATGGCGAAGTCATCGTGGCCATCGACAACTCGTACGCCCGGCGGGCGGCCAGCGGCGGGCACTTCCTCGCGATGGCCGACGGCTCGGCCGTCGGAGACCCGGCGGCGGCGGCGGCGGCGGCGGCGGCGGCGGCGGCGGCGGCCGGCGTCCTGCCCACGGCGCCTCAACTCCCGCCGGGGTCAGCGCCGATGAATGGCGGTGAGTACCTGCTGCACCAGCAGCCGCACCTCGCCGGCGAGGTCGAGCCCGAGCCGCTGGCACTGCTGCGCAGCTTGCACCCCTATCTGCCTGGTGGGGCGGCGGCGCTGGCGGCGGCGGCCGCGGCGGCGGCCGCCGCCGCCCCCGGCTCCGCCGGCGTCAGCACCCACTCGACGCCGGGGCTGCTGGCCATGGTGGGCGGGATCCCCTCGCCGGGCGGCCTGGGGCCCGGGCTGCTGGACTTCAATGTGACCAGCTCGCCCGGGGCCGGGCTGGCCTCGGCCCCCTCGACCCCGGCCCCATTGGCCCCCGGCCCGGCCAAGAAGCCGGCCAAGCCCCGGCGCCGGAACAACCGCGATGGCGAGACCGCCACCCAGCGTGCGGCCCGGCTGGAGGCCGTGGCTCGGGCCCTGGCCGCCGGCGAGGTCCCTCCCGCGCCGCCGCCGCCGCCCCGGCCCCGAGCCCGGCGCGGCTTCGCCGCCATGGACCCGCAAAAGCAGCGCATGATCGCCAGCCGCGGCGGCCGGGCGGCCCAGCGCCGGGGCACCGCCCACCGGCTGACCGACGCCGAGCGCAGCCGCGGCGGCCAGCAGGCCAGCCAGAATGTCCAGCGCCTGAGCGAGTCCAATGCCGCGGCCCTGGCCGCCACATCATCGGCGCCCCTGCCGGCCGTCGGCTCGCTATCGACGCTGAGTGCGGCACGCGATGGATACGTTCCCCCGCCCTCCCCGCCCCCCCCCTTAAACACGCCTCTTCCTCCTCGTCTTCCTTTTCCTGGTCCCGAGCCATGGTGCCAGGTGCCGTGTCGTGTCCATTGCTCCGGCCCCTGCAAGAAGATCACACGATGGCGCGCCGGGCTCCGTGCAGCAGATGCCCGGCCCGGAGCCCTGTCCTCCTCAGCGGCCCCATGGCTCGCCCGTGCCTCTGCCCCGCCCCCCCCCCCCGCACGCGAACATGTTTATATGCCTGCCCGCGTGCGTATCTAACCACCCCCTGATCGACGGGCTCCTGGATGTGGCCTCGCGCGCGCGCGCGCGCGTGCGTGTGTGTTTGCGTGTCTGTGGGTGCGTCGCCCGCACTCCCGCGTCTCCGGCCTCGGCCATGTCGTTCGTCCGGCAGCAGCAGCAGCAGCAGCCACCACAGCCCCTGCCCCTGGAGTACACCCCGACGGGGTATCGGCCCGGGCTGGGTCATTTCCCCGGGTCGGGCATCGGGGACTTGAACAACTCGACGGCCCTGGCGATGGCGGCAGCGGCTGCAGCCGCCGCCGGCGGTGGCGGCAGCATGCCCGCCTTCACCAACAGCATGAACCCCCCTGGCGGAGGAAACACAAGTGGCTTGGGCCCCGGGCCCGGGCCCGGTGCCGGTGCCGATGAGAGCATGTGCGGCGATCCGCCAGCGCGTCCGGGCATGCTGCCCAGCCACTATCAGGCCCTCCTGCCCTCGGTGTCGGGGACCGGCGCCGGGGCTCCCCACCACGCGCCCTCGTACGGGCTGCTGTCCCATGGGTCCGGGTCTCCTCCCGGCGGGCGGACGGCCACCGCCTCGGCCCCCGCGGCTCAGGCCTCGCTGAGCACCCCCAGCAGCATGTCTGGCGTCCAGGCGGTGGCCATTCCCCCGATGGCCGCGAGGCTGGAGTTCGCCGCGGCACGGCCCCGTACCGCGGCCCTGGCCAGCGGCGCCCCGGCAGCCGGGACGCCCGGCATCCCGGCCCCCGGGTCCGCCTCAGCCATGATGCCGAGCCCAATGCCATCACCGGGCGTCGGCACCCCGCCGGGAGCCTCAGCTCGACTTGAGGATCCGGCGGCCGGTGCCCCGCACGGGTCGACCCCCGCCGGCGGTGCCGAGCTTGCAAGCGCGCTGCCCGCCATGTCGGCTGCGCCACCGCCGCCGCCGCAGCAGGAGAGCCCCTCGATGCTGTCGCGCTCCGAGACCAAGACCCTGCCACTGGTGTCGCCCGGGCTGGCCGGCTCCCCGGGGTCGTGGGCCGCCTGCCAGGTCTTGCCGCCGCTTTCGCTTTCCTCCAGCAGCGAGGGCACCGCCGGCGACAGCGACATCCATGGGACCGGCCCCCATCCGCCGGTCAAGAAGCAGCGACTGCTCCAGGGCGACGTCCTTGGCACGGGGGCCGGAGCCGGGGCCGAAACCAGAACCGGAGCCGGGACCGGGCCGGGCGACAATACCTGAAGCGGGCCCGCGGACGGCCGAGCGCGGAGCCCGCATACGAGGGGCTGGCTGTGTGCTGCCCCCCTCCCTTTCCCGGGCTTCAGGCTCATGCTATCACTGTGTCCTTTTCTCTCCCATTGCCCCGCCCCTTTCGGAAAGGGGGTGGCCCAATAAAACCGGAGTCCCCCCGACGGAGCGCCAAGGGAGGCGGGGCGCGCAGGGGGGAGGTCGCGAGAGGGACAGTCTAGCCAGGGGGGGAGAGAGAGAGAGAGAGACAGGCAGACACGGAGGGAGATAGAGAGCGAAGAGAGAGAGAGAACGGGGGGGGGGGAGAGAATAGCCAGTGGCGGGGGAGCTCACTTGAAAGTTGGAAGGAACACCCATAGCCGGGCCCCAAGGGCGGCCCGGAGTCGAGGGCCGAGGGGGGCTGGCCCGCATCGTTTTTCGCCAGTCACCCCATGGCGCGCCCCCCGCCCCCCCCCCCCCCCGCGGGGACCGGCGGAGTCAAGGACAAGACAACAGAGCGAGTCTCGGGAGAAGACGGGCGAAGGAGCGGGCCAAGCCCGATGGAGGCCGGAAAGCGAGAAATGCACCAGGCAAGGGCAGGTACATGCGCATGTGCATGGGCGAAAAAGAATGGACACCCAAGTTGAGAGGCGCCCGGTGCGTCGCCGGGTTTCTTGACCGGGCCTGCTTGGTCCCGATCGACACGGCATTCCGGGGGATATTGGTTGTTTGTCGAGGTGCTTCCTGAAGCGTCCCCAGGACGGGCCCCTGGGGGGCGGGGGGGGGGGGGGGGGGGGGGGGGGGGGGGGGGGGGGGGGGGGGGGGGGACAGGAGATGCGGCGGGGCAGGTCGCCCACATACGGCCCAACGGGTTGGCGTTTTCCCTTTCCCAGCCCTCCGCCGCCAAGCCCCTCGAGGTGGTACGAGCGCGCCGTCTTGGTCCGCTGAGTTGCCCACCGACACAAACACCCAGCCGAGCCGGGTCAGGCCCGGCCAAGAGGCCGGAGGCCCATCAGGGGCCGAGTGCCCCCCGAGGCCGAGGCCGAGGCCGAGGCAGAGGCCGATGCCGAACACAACGGGCGGCCAAGCCCCCGAAGAAGCCCGCGTGCGCACGGCCCCCGGCCGCAACCCCCGGGCTGCCGCGCCGGACGCTTGTCCCCGTCGAGCGAGCGAGCGAGCAACAAGCTGCCGGCCCGGGCGGGCCGCAGCGGCGCCAGCGGCGGGGGAGGATGTGGGATCGCCGGGGATTGTGGTCTGTTCTCCGAGTGCGTTGGCACCCGCGGCGGCGATCGCGGGCTACATTGCTATTTGGTCTCGGGGAAATTGTGGGGAAGGAGTGTGTGGGCGCGTGCGTGTGTGGGCGCGTGCGTGCGTGCGTGCGTGCGTGCGTGCGTGTGTCTGGAAGGGGGCCGGCAGGGGAACGTGGGGGTTCGCATGGTGGCAGTTAATGCCTGCCAGCGGCGAGCGCGGGGGAGATGGTGCCACCGCGCACTGGCTCGGGCATACGAGGCAGAGCGAGTCGGACGAGCCAGCAGGCACGGTGCGGAAAAAGAAGAAGGGTCCGCCGCCCAGGCCTACGCATTCTTCCCTGCATGCACGTAGAGGCCGGTGCATGCCCGGCAGGAGGCCGGCTGCACGCGACAACGGCCGGCTTGCCGATGTACGCGGCGCGGCCGGCCGACGCATTGGCATCCTTGGCCTCTTGGCCGCGGGGGGGAGGGGGGAGGCGTTCGCGGCTAAGGCAGTCCCAGAGGGGCCCGGCGCGTGCGCCATGCGAGACCGCCTGCCTGGGCGCCGGGGTGCCAGACACCCCGCATGGCTTGCCCATGAGCTATGGAGGTCCCCCTCGCCCCTGATCGGCACGCCTGGCTGGCTGGTCGCCGCGCCCCCCCCCCCCCCCCTCGCTTCGATATATTTACATAAACAGACACACTCACACATACAGGCGCACACACGCAGGCATATACACACATGCGACGAATCCGGGCCCTGGCTGGTCCCATGTCGCCCAGGCCGCCACATGGGCAATGTTCGGCCGACGGCCTGGCTGTCTCGGAGTGGCCCGGCCATTGGGGGTTAAGCCCCGGGGCGTGGGCGGGGCCTGCGCCGCTGGGTCCGGCGCGCCCCGGTCGCCGTTCCCGGGCCATTGTCCCGGGCCGCCCGGCCGGCTGTCCGGGGCCGCCTCTTTGCCCGAATCAACTCCACCGGTTTTACTCTCATCTGCGGGACTCACCCACCCGAGGGGCCGGGAGCGCGGGGCCCGATTCGAGCGCTGCTCGTTAAACCCGCTGGAGCCGGATCGCCGGGTGCCTTGCCGCGCTGTCCGGCGCCGGCCGCTGCCAAGCCCCCGAGGGCCGCTCCCGGCCTGGGGACCCGGGCGAGGCCCGGAATGGCCGGCGGGGCGCCAAGGGGCATGTCCTGCCGCCCATCGCAGCAGCGGCTCGGGCATGACTGGCCTGTGGGGAGCACCCTACAGGTTGCTCTCGCCACCCGGTCGCGGCCTCCCCCTGCCACGCCCCACCTGGCGCACTTCCCGCAGCCGCCAGGCAGTCCGCAGGCCGATGGCATCCCGGGCAAAGGACGCTGCCTGGGGGCCTACGCCGCGACCGCCCGCCC